TTGGATTTTTGCCATGTTTTAAATTTTGTTCAGGATAGGAAAATGCCTGGAGGTGATGGTATGTTTAAAAGGCTCACACAAAATACAGCTGTATTACATTGAAGGTAATATGTTATTCGGGGTGTTACATCAGATACTATCTAATTGCTAGATTTTAGCAGAATGTAGCAATAGCAGGCATCATAGTTTATAGAAAAATTTGTGGAGAGAAAAAAATCATGACTTAGGAAAGGATGGAAATTAGCAGCAGAACTCTTTGATGTAGCTTGTGGAATGACAGCCCTAGTGCTAATAAAAATCAACATGTTGTACTAATATACTCTAAGAAAGTACCTCCTGCCCTTTTCCAAGTCATGGCACATATAATAAAAGTTCAGTAAGAGCTAAGATCTGAAAGGAAGGTTTGATTCTGAGATCGGATACCTCCCAAATCTCATGATATTAAAAAGTATATTGAGAGAGAACAGTGAACCTGAGATCTAACTAAATTGTGATAATGATACCATAAGCAGCTGGTGCTCTGCCGAGAGACCAAAGGGAGGACTTTGTCTTGTTCGCCCAGTGCTTCATGAAGAGGAGTGGCTTTTGGTGGACATGAGTGTTCTGCTCCCTAGGAGGAGGCCAGTGTAGCAGGAAAGAAGCAGACAGGAATGCCTGGGTGGCTCAGTCGTTAAGCGTCTGCCTTTGGCCTAGGTCATGATTCCAGGGTCCTGGGATCGGGTCCCACATCAGGCTCCTTGCTCAGCGGGGAGCCTGCTTCTCCCTCCCCCTGCTTGTGCTCTCACGCTGTCTCTCTGGCAAATAAAGTCTTAAAAAAAAAAGGAAAAAAGCAGACAACATTACTCTTATGAAGCCCCTGGGAACACTTTACAACATATGTCTTAAAAAATAAAACAAAAAAAACAGGGACGCCTGGGTGGCTCGGATAGTTAAGTGTCTGACTCTTGATTTTGGCTCAGGTCATGGTCTCAGAGTTGTGAGACGGAGCCCTGCATTGGGCTCTGTTCTCTGGAGAGTCAGCTTGAGATTTTCTCTCCGCTCCCCCCCCGCTCCTCCCCCCTCAAATAAATAAGTAAATCTTGAACAACAACAACAATCAAAACCCAAGCAGGAATAAAAAACTTACGCTTAGGTATTATAGCACTAAAAAATGTTATGCTGTGTGCAGTTTTAATATGAGTATATAACTTTGAATTATCTTTTAAAATTATTCCATATTTGTGGCTGGTGCCTGGCACAGCTGAGTTCCATTGGAATACAGCTTAAGAAATACTGCCCTATGGCAAATGACCCAGGCTCTCCGAGCGCAAGAGCAACCTGGATGGCACAGCACTTAGGACCTGCCACCACCATTTACTGTCATTCTTTGCTGAAACCAGCTCCTGATTACTAAACTGGCTTTCCAGAAGCTTTTGAATGGGCAGTGGGGTGCAGGGTAGAAGTATTGTCCTGGTGTAATTGTTCCAGTAATTGGAACTGTATATTTCCCATTACATCAAATTTGTTGGCATTCCGGGTTTTGTGTGTTTAAAAGGCATGAGTCGGTTCCTCAGAGTCCTGGCTGCTTTTAGATGAACTAATAGTGTCTGATCTCAGAGGTGAAGCTGGAATTCCCCAACCCTCAGGGCCCTTCCTTTCCATCTGCAGTAGTTTCTTAGATTGTTTTTAACTTCTAAAAATGTAATTCTAACGATCATTCAATCCCAGCAATCTCAATTGCCTTAATCTTTCCCTATTAATTAAAATAGCTTTTTGACTGGTAGGCAGGGACCACGTTTTAGATTTAATCAACAACCTGCAGTCTAAATTTTGCCCATCTATGTCAAATATTTTAAAATAGGGGCTACTCAGAGCAGGCAGGCATCTGATAATATATAAACTCAACCAATTTGTAATTCCTGTCAGTCTGTTAGGTACTTCATGGCAAGCCTGTAGGCTTTTATTCAGTAGTCTGGTATGTGGTTTTAGAACCTATATATATATTTTAAAAAACTACCTCTGTTGATTTTGATCAGATTGTTCCAGATAGCAACCTCAAGTAGAAGTATGCATTAGGGGGAGCGCCTGGGTGGTCAGTCGTTAAGTGTCTGCCTTCAGCTCAGGTCATGATCCCAGGGTCCTGGGATCGAGCCCCCAGTCGGGCTCCCTGCTCAGCCGGAAGCCTGCTTCTTCCTCTCCCGCTCCCCCTGCTTGTGTTCCCTCTCTCGCTGTTTCTCTCTCTCTCTCTGTCAAACAAATAAAGAAAATCTTAAAAAAAAAAAAGTATGCATTAGGATCACTTGGGGCATACTTACAAATGTGGATTCCTGAGTCCCAAACCCAGAGAGTCAGATCCTATTAAGAAACCAAAATTAAGACCCATGAAGCAATCAAAACACTTAAATGCTAAACATGTCATAAGCAGTTAATAAATATTGTTTGATTCAATTGCCCAGTGTGGTAGGTCTTCCATGTGAGCTAGAGACATTCTAAACTTCATGGAAGAGGTGGGGCCTTAGGCTTGGTAGGGGGAAAGGGTTTAGATGCAGGCCAGGAAGAGCAGGGGAAGGCATTTATTCACTGATATGTGGGAAGAGCAGAGGCTGGACAGATATGCAAAGGCACACATGGGCTGGGTAGAGATGGAACTGAGAGAGGAGCATGACTATACAGAACACACAGATTCATGTTGTTTGTTCTTAGCTTGTGTTGTTCAGACAGGAGCTGGAGTGCTGTGTAATCAGTGGCGCACATTGGATGTGTGGGCTCTTCTATGACATCCCCTCATTCCTGATGAGTAGCTGTGAGTGGCTGATAGAACTGACTTGAAAGGTTCTTCCCTTCCTTCTTTTGGTTCCATTTGGGTTCCTCCTCAGGGTAGAACTTGCTTGAGAAAGACCATCTCTCATAGAAGGGATTGAACTCCAAACATACTCTTAAGTCATTTTTTTATTTTTAACAAATGTCAGTTTCAGAGGGAACCAAAATTAGTAGTGTATTAAGTGTTTTATTCAGTCAGGTCATTGCGCTGGGCTCTGATTCCACCCTGTGTGCCCTAGAGGAGCCCCATCTTCTACCTGGAGAAACAGAATTACAATTGCAGTGATGAATTCTTACCCAGAAAGCCAGGCCAAGTATAAAGGATGATTAGCTGATCCAGCTCAGAGGCATCAGGATCTGGAAAAGCTTTATACAGGGAGCACATCTGAGCAGAATCTTGAAGATTGAGTAGGAGTTGACCAGGTGAGGAGAGGAGGTGCTCCAGGAAACGGGAATGCATAGGCAAAATCACATTTGCGGGAAAGAACATGGCATGATTGGAGTTGGAAGGAATTTGGTCAGCAGAGGCTCAGGGTGTCTAAAAGAAGCTGAGGCTGGAGAGGTACACGCAGGGGCCAGATCTTGCTGTGTCTCATAGACCATGTCAAAGGTTGGATTTTTCGTGAAGGCAATAGGGTTTTAAGCAGTGTTATTTTGTGTTCACTGTGGCTGCAGTATGAGTGATGGATTAAAGAGGGCAAAGCCAGAGTCAGAGAGGCAAGAGGTGAGAGCTTGATCTTGAGCTTGGAGGTGGGAATGGAGAGAAGAGGACAGATGGGGGAAATTTAGAAGGCAGGTGCAAAAGGACTTGGTGGCTACTTGAGGTTTGGCAGAGGAGGGAGAAGTTCTGACAGTGAGCGATGCTGCTTCCGTCCCCTGAGGTCTGGGGTATGGGAGGACGTTCAGTTTGCTGGGGACGATGATGACTTCATTTATGTAGGGAGCAGATTGATTTTGAGGTGGTTGTGGGACATCCAAGTGGAGGTGTCTGGAGAGCTCTTAGATAGTGAGTCTGGAGCTCATGGAAGGTAATGGGCCAGACATTGGCGTAAATGGGAAGAGATCATTTGTTGTACTAGATTGGTTTCATCTCCAAAATATTCCTCAAAGCAACCACTACTTTCCACCTCCTCTGCCATCCCTTGGTTCAGGCTGCAATTATCTTCTAATTGCTTTGCCTGCTTCTGTGTCAGTCTGTTCTTACACAGCTGGCAGAGTGATCTTTTAAAAATGAGATGGAATCTTATTTCCCTGCTTAAAATCCATTGCCACTGACTTCCCATTACTCTTAGAATAGATTCAAACTTCTTACCATGCTATGAGGTCGTGCCTGATCTGGCCTGGCCTGCCTACCTGCCTCTACACACATCTTAGAGCCACTCTTCTCCCTCACTTGACCATGCCTCTTCTAGGCCCAGGCTTTTCTTCTGTCTCCTCCTACAGCAGGTTCTTTCTCTTTTCCTTGCCTTTGTTTATGCGGCTCCCTCTGCCTGGATTACCCTTCCCCCTCGTCTGGCCTGGTTATCTCCTCACCTTTCAGATCTTACCTCAGATAGCATTTTCTCCAGAGGAAACTTCCCCAGTCTCCTGAGCTGTATTAGAGCCGTCCTGCATTTTTCTTTCCTAGCACTTAACAGTTTGTTATTAGTTATTCCATGTTTGTTTAGTATCTCCCATACAAGCTCCGTGAGGGCAAAATCTGTCCTGTGTTTGGTTTGCCATTGTACCCCCAGTGCCGGACAGTCCTGAGCCCATAGTAAGCACTCCAATAAGTAGTGGTTAGGTTTGTTGAATGAATGAGGGTCATAATCTCAATTTTCTTTCCTGAAAAACTTGCGGTTTTTATACTCCCACGGAATAAATATGATTCAAGCCTTACAACTTAAGTAGCTGACTTCCTCTACATTGGGTAGTCCTCTTACATTTTCAGCTCTCATTAAATACTTGGCCTCTGGGAGGTTAGGGCATTAACATTGCAAGTTAGATCTTAAGGGTATTTTTTCTCACTGTTGCCTGTGTTCATTACGGTGACTGGTTAGCATTGCCTGCCCCATCATCTTTCGGACACTGGTCTGGTGCTGAGTGTGGAAATTGGGAAAACTGGTACTTGTTGCCTTCAGTTGGGCCCCCGAATTTAGTAGCAGCTTTCTCCTGCAGCCCTGATGTGGGAAGGGTCCCAATACATGCTATTTGCATTGCAGCCGTGGGAAAGTCCACCTTTGTGAAGTTACTCACGAAAACTTACCCAGAGTGGCACATAGCTACAGAACCTATAGCAACATGGCAGAGTGTCCAGGCTGTTGGCACCCAAAAAGTAAGTTTTCAGTTGTGGTGGGTAGTTGGCCAGCATGGGTGAATAAACTAATTGTAATAATCCAATTTGCTCTGAGTAGGTGAAACAGCCCAGTTTGAGTTTCTTTTTTTAAAATCCTTTCATTCCAGAAAGCAGACCACATATGCCAGAGAGGATATGACTTGTTTGAATATGTTTAGTTTTGATTTTTGTGGTTTTTACATGTCTACATAAGTGACTGCCTCTGTTCTTTGTGGTTTCCCAAAGTATGTCCAGCTGTCCTGGCTTTGTCATTCCTACCCTTGAGTATATTACTGAAGCTGACCTTCAGGATTAAGAGCTAATTATAGTGATTTTAACTTATTTATGAAGTTTTAGAAATTGGAAGGGACTTCGCGCACATCTTGTCACACTCTGAGTCAATGCAAAAATAATAGCTAACGTTTATAAAGCGCACACTTTGCCACATACTGTGCCAAGTGCTGTACATTTCACTTCTGCCTCATGGCATAGGACCTAGTGTCAGGTCTACTGCTTTGGGAAGGGCCATAGCGTTGGTTTCAAAATCAGCCATAATCCATGTGAGTAGGGAAGGACCAGTTTGGACGTGAACCTTAGGGGTAGCTGAGGAAATGGCACTACGTTGCCTCAGCCTCCACACTCTCCTCCCGCAGTCACCAAGAACAGTCCACTAAGTGGCTTGTTCTGGTTTTTAACAAAACTCTAATTGTTAGAAAGTTCTTGTATGAGCCACTTTGCGTCCCTGTGACTCTGAGTCATTGGTGCAAGTTCTGCTTCTTAAGTTTTTAACTTCTCTACATGACAGCCCTTCATATAGTTGAAGATAATTCATGATTTGTTTGCTCTTTCTCCTCCTTGCGTCTTCTTTCAAGCCACACACCATTTTCCCCCAGACTGTTCCTCATTCTGAAGTAACTTTGTCTAGGTGATAAGCTCCAGTTGGTTAGTTTTCCACTTAGACTAAGAGTGGTACTCTAAATGGTAAAGAGTATCATAGAACTTGTTCTAGGTGGCATTTTTCTGTTATTCCTCCTCAAAATTGTGTTACCTCTTTTGGCAGGCACATCATGCTTATTGTGGACATATGTTTTTTTAAATTGTTTCTGTGTGTGTATGTATGTTTGTGAAGTTAATTTTCCATTTAGAAAATAAATTACATATCTTTCTCTGAGTATGCCACAGGTCACCTGTTGTGGGATTTAAAAATATTTCCACAGATTGTTGAGCTTTCCTTTAAGAGGTAGACCCTAATTCTCTCCTTGAGTGGCTAGACTTGGCGACTTGATTCTGATGAATAGAATGTAGCAGGAATAACAGTGGGACTTGCTAGGGTAGGCCAAAAAAGACATTGTATCTTCTACCTTGATCTGTCTTGATCACTTTTGGCTCTGGGGATGCCAGCTGCCATGTCATGAAGCATCCTTGTCTGTGAAGAGGCCCATGAAGCAAGCGATTGAGTCCTCCTACCAACAGCAGTGTGAGTGAGTCTTTTTGGAAGTGGATCCTTTGGCCCCACTCAAGTCTTCAGATGACTGACCTCAGCCAATATCCTGACTGAAACTTCATGAGAAACCCTGAGGCAGAATGAGCTGGCTAAGCTGTGTCCCGATTCCTCGCCCATAGAAACTGAGATAATGAACATTTTTTGTTTAAGCCACTAAACTTTGGCACAATTTGTTATGCAGCAGTAGATAGCTAATACTCCCGTAGTCCCGTTATCCAGAGGTAGTTAACATTTTTGTTCTTTTGGATTTCCTTCTACTTAGGAGAAAATGTATATATTTATATACACCTATATGAATGTATAAAACATATACATTTACTTTTTTTTAAACAAAAATTGTAATTGTTACCTGCATGGCCTTTGATATACAAGGTCTTCCTTTCATAGTAATTTTAATGATTGCAGTATATTGCATAATATGATCCTTTAATTAATGTAGTTGATATATTTAATTTAATGTATAATGTTACATGTACTATATGAATTTCTTCCTGTTATAAACAATGTTACAATGATGAATATCCTTGTAGCTACATCTTTTTTCTTGTTAACAGCTAAATTTTGTGTACTTTTGTATTTTCTTAGGATAATCTACAGTTGGAGTTTTAATGTCCAAAAATTACACATCTTGTAGATTGCTGACACCTGTTAAACTTCACAAACCTTTCCTTCAGAAAAGTTGTACCACTTTCCCCATACTTTTGGCAACACTGTTTTTCATTGTTGCTAATATGAGGGGCAAGAAAACAGTGCGTTATTTTGTTTTACATATCTTTGATTACCAGTGAATTCAACATCTTTTTTATATTTATCAGCCATTTATTAGTATTCTTTAGTGAATTGCCTATTAAGACCTCTTGTATTTTTCTCCCCGCTACTGAGATCTTCAAATTTTTGTAATGGCTTTATAAGAGCTCATTGTATGTTAAGTATCTTAAGTCTTTATCACATATTGCTGATCCTTTCCCCAGTTTGTCATTTTTCTTTTGTCTCTCTATATGATATATTTTGCAATATAATACATTCAAGTTTTTATGTAGTCAAATCTGTCTTTTTCTTCATAATTACTGCCTTTGGTATTAAAGTTTTAAAAAGACTCTCACAATCCAAAATTATAAAAACATGCGCCTACATTTCTTTCTCTTGCTTTTATGGTTTTATTTTGCTCTTTATGTGACTTTAAAAGTTATAGGAGGCTAATTTTCCCCAAGTCATTATTTACTTTTCGTAGTAGTATTCTTGTTTAGTTTATTCCTGAGTGGTTATTTAATTCTTATTGTGAGTGGGATCCGTTTTCCCATCATCTTTTCCAAACTGGTTGTTATTGTTTTAAAGGAAAGCAGTTAATTGTATGTTTGTCTTGTAATATTACTGTTATTTTTTTTGTTTTATTTGCTTGAGGTTTCAGAACATAATGGTTTTCCCTAAATACTTATCATTTGTAAGAGTTTTCCAATATCCATACTTCACTTCTATTTTCTTGTTTTATTGGGTGGAAGTTCCAGAGCAATACTAACTATAATAGCACTGATGGTAGTCAGTCTTATCTTGTTCTGTCTTTAATGAAACTACCTCTAATGTATCAGTATAAGTTCTGTGATTGTTAATCGTTTCAATAGATCATGTGGAGGAAGTACCCTTCTAATTACTAGGATAGGAACTGTTTTCCTCAGGATCAGATGTTGAATTTTCATCAAAAGCCTTTTTAGTATCTAGTGAGATAACCATGTGGTTTTTCTCTTTTAATATCTTAGTATTAGTCAGTAGATTTGATAATGGCGCCATCTGTACATTCTGGAATGAACCCTTTTGATCATGGTACACTATTCCATTAATTTGCTAATAGATTGTTTGAAATTTTGCATGTATATTTATTTAATTGGTATTACTATTTTTTGACAGGTTTTTACCATCGGGGTATAAAATGAATTGAGAAGTTTTGCACTGTTTTAGTGTAGGAATTATCTATTCTTTGAAGTTAGGATAGAAATCATTTTTTAAATAATACGGATTCAGTGCTGTTTGGGTGGAATAGTTGCTGGACAACTGTTAACTTCCTCAGCTATTGTTCAGGGTTTGTGTTTTGTTGTTGTTGTTGTTGTTTTACACCTTCTTGAATCAATTTTGATAATCTTGTTTTCTTAGAAAATTGCCCTATTGAGATTTTCAAATTTAATTGTATAAAAGTAGTACCTGTATTTTTTAATAGTTTAATCCAGAATTACTGTGTCTTTTGTCTGATGTTGCTTGTTTGTGTTAATATTTGGGGAGGGATAGATTTGATAGATGATTGTTCTTTTTTAAAGACCCAGTTAATGGATTTTATTAATTCTTTGGGGACTTGCATTCTAATTCATTAATTTTGGCCTTTAAATTTACTCATTTCTTTCTAAGAACCTCTGTATTTTTAAAGCTCTTTAGGTTGAATGATTAGTTTGTGTATTTTTCTTTTTTTCTTTCCTTAATAATGGAAGCATTTGCAACTGAAAGTTTTCTTCATGGAATAAGCTTTGGCCTTGTCTTTTAGAGTTCGACATATAAGATTTTAACTGAAATACCGAATTTGTAATTGTAGTTTTTGATTTATTCTTTGCCCTGGAATTATTTTTAAGGTATTTTACATTTTCTTTTTTTTTTTTTAAGATCTTATTTATTTATTTGACAGAGAGAGACACAGCGAGAGAGGGAACACAAGCAGGGGGGAGTGGGAGAGGGAGAAGCAGGCTTCCTGCGGAGCAAGGAGCCTGATGCGGGGCTCGATCCCAGGACCCTGGGATCATGACCTGAGCCGAAGGCAGCCGCTTAACCAACTGAGCCACCCAGGCACCCCAATTTTACATTTTCTGAGTAGATTTTGTGTGTGCATTATTTTTTTACTCTAATTTTATTTTGTTATGGTCAGACAACATGGCTTATACAATTTTAATTGGGGGAACTTACTGAGGTATTCTTCATGGCTTACATATGATCGATTTTTATGTATGACCAATTTTGGTAAATGTGCCATGGACTTTTAAGAAGAATATATATTATCTCTAAGGTATGGAATTTGGTGTGACATATATTATAAATTCTAAGATGCCATTGATCGTAAGACACATAATCAATTTAATAATACTTCTAAGGAATAATAAAAATGTCTATTAAAGTTTAACTTAAACATTGTAAGATGTACATCAATTTCAGGTATGTGAAAAATAATGACTTAATAACAATTTGAAATAAGCTCTCATTATTGGGGTCTACTTTTTATATTAAATTATGAGAAAAGTGTGTTAAAGTTTGTGCTTTTTGTCCATTTCTCCTTGTATTTTTAATCGGCTCTGCTCTTATATTTCTGAATTTCAGGGCTTTATTACTGTACGTAAAAAGGTTCATGACTCCTTTGTGTAGTCTTTTTTGGTTTATTAGTATTAAAAAAACCCTCTTGTAGCATATAATGCTTTTTTTAAAATACAGTTTTGCCACATCTGCTTTCTTTTTATTTGCATCTATTTGGTGGATTTCACTGTCCCTTTGTCCTTAACTAATACATGGCATTTTGTTTTAGGTATTTTTCTTACAGGATTTTTAGTTTTTACCCAGTGTTAAGGTTTGCCTTTCTTGGGAATTTTTCTCTTTTATTATAATTGAGTTTAACTTATTTCTATCACCTTATTTTGTGCTTTCATTTCCTTTTTTTTCCTTTTTTGCTATATTTAATATTTTTTTTCATTTTTCTCCCCTTTCCTTATATGGGAAACTTACTATTTTTATCCTAACAGGGGAAACCTGTAAATTAAAAATGTACATGTTTAAACCTATCTTTCAATGTTAATGGAGCCTCTGTGAAAGAGAAAAAGAAGCCAAAACCTTTTTATTACCTTCTTTGCCAGGTATATTGAAATTATCCGAAATTTTGTAGATCCAGAATGTTTTTACATTGTGAAATTTCTTTTTTAACAACGGAAATGTGGCAGTCAATTTCATAGCCACATAAATAATAGTTCCTTAGTTACACCCTTAATTATACTTAACTCTGTTCTCCTGGTTGATCACTGACCACTGTGTTCTCATTTCCACATCTTCCCGTTTCTTAATTTTTCAGTTGGTTGAAATGTATTTTAGAGAATTTTTTCAGAAAGGGCATGTAGGTGGTATAATTTGAGTGATTGCTTGTCTAAAAATGTCTTCCTTTTGCTCTGTAATATAAAAGGTAGTTTTTGTTGTAGAGAAGTATTATATGGTTCTGATCTTTTTTTTTTTTTAAATAAGTAATTCATGTGATTTCCCTGCCATTAGATTTTTGTTTTGTTTTTTTGAATTGTTGGTATTTTGGTAGGATAGGTCCAGTTTGGGGTTCTTGTGTGTGCCTGTGTGTGTGTGTGTGTGTGTGTGTGTGTGTGTGTGTATGAAAGCTGTATATATAAATATATATGAAATCTTTTCTGGTACTCTGAATTTTTCTGGTTGAAAGTCTCGCATCTCAGAAATTTTCTTTAATTTTTTTCTTTTGTTTTAGCTTTTCTATCAGATCAGTTCCTTCTTACTATAGCTTCTAGTTTTAAACTTTGTTCTTAAATACTTAGAGCTACTACATGGTTCTGTTAGTGATTCTCAGTGATAATGAAATTTGGTGAGAAGGAGACACACGCCTTAATAGTAATGGTCTTCCTCTGCTCATCTCTTTGCTGCGGGTGGCATTTCCCCTCTCTGTATTGGACTTTTGTCTCATGAGAAGGAACATCATTTCCTTAGGTAGCTTTGTCTGAACTACAGGTACTGTGGAGTTGTGGATCATTTTAGGTCTTGTTTGGAAAGTTGTTTGTGATGCAAAATTATATTATTACTGTGAGGTGGAACACAAGTGACATTACATCTTGATGTATCTTTCCAGAGGAAAGAGAGGAAAGGAAAAAAATACCTTAGCACGATACTACAGTGTACATTGGATCTCCTCCTTCTAACCTGTATGTTTTCATTTCTGTCCTAATTTTCTGTTTTTTTTTTCCTCTTAGTTTAAGGAAAATTTCTTGAGCTGATGTTCTGTATGACATTCACTAATTAGGTTTACTGCAGTGTACAATCTGCTAGTTACTGTCTTCATAGGGTGCTTTGTTTTGGCAGTTGCATTTTTTTCTCCTCTAAGAATGTTCTTTTCATATTATTCCTGTTTTTATGACAGCCTGTTCTTATCAATGTGGCAGTCTCTTGAATCTCATTGATTTTCTGTTTTCTTTTGTTTCTGGCAACAGCTCTGTCTCTTAAGGGGCTGCTTGTCCTGAGCAGATGCATTGGTTTTCTCCCTTTGAATTGCTGAATATTACTGTATCCAGTCATTGTCCCTCTCTTTGCTTATATGTTTGAAGGGATGTTTGCATTTGTTCTGTAGCTGAGATGGGTTCTTTCAGAAATTGTGTAGGCCCTGTACAGAGTTTTGTTCCAGAACAGTTTCCCTTTGGTAGCCCAAAGGCTGCTGATAGAATAGCTCCTACCCAGTCAACCTAGTACATCTGTACACATAGCACCTCACTCCCTTCATTGGGCTGCCATGCAGTCTCATAACTATGCTGCACCCCAAGGGCTCTCTACTGTCTCTAGTGACGCCATCAGAGACTCAAGTGGATTCAGATTTGTCCCCCTGCCTCTACCTCCAACTCTTAACCGGGGGTCATTTGTGAGACTGCTGTGTGTGTGCGGGTTGGAGAATTGGAAGGAGGGAAAACATCTTGTGATCCATTCTGCTCTACCTGCATTGCTCCCCGTGAAGCCTTTCAAAGGGCTGGGATCCTTCTTTGGAATCTATGGTTGATACTTAGCCAAACTGGACCACTTGTGGTTGTCTAACCTAGTTCCCCCTCTATTTTTTTCTCCACCCCAAATGTGCTCTTAGTCCCCATTTCTATCTGTGGAAATTCTATGTATCATTTACTTCCCAGCTTGTCTTTATATGGAGAAGCATTAGAATGAAGTTAGAGGAAGCCAGGTTTGAGTCCCTGTTCTGCATTTACTCATCTTGAAACCTTGGACAAGTAAGTTACTTAACCTTTATGAGTGGATTTGCCCCTCAGGAAAATGAGCATGCAGTAGTGCCCTCTTCATGAAGCTGTTTTGAAGATTAAATGACATAACAGCACAGTGAACACTGAAAATAAATCTTAGTTTATTTTCTCTACCCCTTACAGCATCGAGCCTATGTAGCGCCTCATCCGTGTAGGCCCTTCAGTTAATGGAGATTGAATGAATTCACTTTTGTGCTGAGTCAGTGGCAGAGCCCAGGAAAGAGTCCAGGGCTCCTGAGTATCTCACACATGTTCCCACCTGCACATGCTGAGTAAATGGGTCTTGAGATACATTTCATAAAGTCTCCAGAATGGAGGAGGAAGGTTTTGTTTGTTTGTTTTAATCCCTTCTGTGAGAGAGAGAGAGAATTCTATTTGGTTGGTTAGTTGGATTTTCAAATAATCCATTGCTTTCTTCTCTGGGTTGAAGTTTTGTAAAGAAATAGCCACAGATGGAAGTTCAAAAGAGAGGCAACATAGTGTTAAAATGGGAAGATTTGATTCCAAGTAGTCTTAGATGGTCGTTGGTTTACTCCTCGTCAGACAGACTCCACAAACCAGTCAGTGAATGTGCTGATTGTATGGGTGGTTCTTCCTATGCTCTTCTCTGGTGTGTTGAAGATGGCGTGTCCTCTCCCTCTCAAATTCTCATTTTATCAGGTAGGAAAATCTCTTCCTTGATTATACAGCTTTGACTAAACTGGGGGATATGATTATATCTTTTTAGTAAAAGGCAACTTTTGTAATTGCTTCCCTCATTGATTGTTAAACCATGGTGTTGGGGACTAAACACCATGGGGTAAATACACCTTCTAGGAAATGCTCCTCTTTTGTAATTTCCTTGTAGGCCTTCACTGCCCAAAGTCTTGGAAACTTGCTGGATATGATGTACCAGGAACCAGCACGATGGTCCTACACATTCCAGACATTTTCTTTTATGAGCCGCCTGAAAGTACAGCTGGAGCCTTTCCCTGAGAAACTGTTACAGGCCGAGAATGCAATACAGATCTTTGAGAGGTCCGTGTACAGTGACAGGTAAGACCCTGAGCCCTTCACTGGCCACAAGCCCCATGCTCAGTGCTGCATATTTTCCCTTCTTGCTCCACTGTGGTTATTTATTTATTTATTTATTTTATTTATTTGAGGGAGAGCATGAGAGTGGGGGAAGGTCAGAGGGAGAAGCAGACTCCCCGCTGAGCAGGGAGCCGGATGCGGGACTTGATCCCAGGACTCCAGGATTATGACCTGAGCTGAAGGCAGTTGCTTAACCAACTGAGCCACCCAGGCGCCCTCCACTGTGGTTATTGATAATTGTACTTTTTCATCGTCCGTTTACTTCTGAAGATGCTAAGTTGGTTACCCATTTACTTTCAAATTAGACAACCTAGTTCTACTTCTTAGTGTTCCATAAAACTTCCTGGAGGGAAAAAAGAAGGGTACACTTGTAAGTATCATGTAATTTTTTTAACATTATCTCAAAATCATGCAAGATACATAGAACAAATCCTATAGGCTACATATTTCTTCTCTACCCCAAGACAGAGTTTACTCTTTATAAAAGCTAAATATGTGAATTACAAGTGATTGAGCTGTAGATTTTGATTCTTTTACAGTTGTTGGGTATACTACTGCATATTTTTCTCTTTGCTTTCCCTGGCCATGCCTCCTGGACTAGGAAGATGAATTACATATAACTGTCCTGGTTACTTGGAAATATATTCACCATGGGTTTTTTGATTTCCAGCCCTTTAGTGAAGTAGGCATGTGAGAGACCCCTCAGAAAAAGAAATACTTCGCTTAGAAGCTACAAGATCTTAACATTTTCTTGTAAAGGAAGAGATGAGAATTGATTTTGCTATAGGCAGCTACACATTCTAGATGTTTTCTTCAGAAGGGGCATTTTAGAGATAGAAAGGATAATTCATTATACATTCTAATCATGATGGTAATTTAGACCGTTTCCCTTCTTTAAAAAATTCATTCATTCATTCCTTTGTTCAGCACAGATTTATTAAATCCCCATATGTTCAGGTACCGGGCTAGACCCTGGGGCTGCAGCAGTGAGCAAGGCAGACCCAGTTCCTGCTTTCAGGTCAACCCTAGTGTAATGGGGACTCAGACTGCACACGTGCTCATGTGTGTGATGTGTGTCCCAGAGGAGGAACACAAGTTGTTTGGGAGAGTGGATGACTGGGAGGAAGAAATCTAAATCTTTTCTGGTGGAGTTAAAAGAAACAATAGTATGTGGTTTTAGAACAGGAGCCCTGATGCCTGGGTCCGTAAGCTCATTTTCTGCAGCATCAGCACGCAGTCTGCGGTTGTTCCCTCCCCGTAGTCCTCTGCACCCCAGCTTTCTCCCACCCCGTCACCACCAGCTGTGGGGAAATAAGTGCTTATCCTCAAGAAAGGGGAGGGCCCCTCTTAAAGGGCGTCTTAACAGATCTGTCATTTTTCTTTATAATATTTTAATTTCTTTTTTTTTTTAAGATTTTATTTGTTTATTTGACAGAGAGACACAGCGAGAGAGGGAACACAAGCAGGGGGAATGGGAGAGGGAGAAGCAGGCTTTCTGCTGAGCAGAAAGCCCAATGTGGGGCTCGATCCCGGGACCCTGGGATCATGACCTGAGTTGAAGGCAGACGCTTAACGACTGAGCCGCCTAGGTGCCCCAAGATTTTAATTTCTAAGTTGCCTGTGAAGAAGCTGAAATACTTTTCAGAAATTGAGTTATAAAAGTCATCTTTCCATGTTGCCTTCAGCTAGACGATAGCTAACCCATTCCAGACTGAGAAAGTTGACTTCGGGAGCTCCTAGCAGATTAATTTCTTCACAGCCTAGCAAAGAAGTAGGTATAGTAACAAAGATGTCTTGAATACTTTGCACCAGTCACTCTTCCAAGCACCTTGTGAGTACTACATACAGTCCTCACAACAATGCTGTGAGTCCAGTTCTACTGTTACCTCTTTGTACAGAGGAAGAAATGGGCTGAGGGAGTTGGGTGACTTGCCCATGGCAACACAGTTTGTGAATTTGGGGGCCGGGCTCACACTCAGGAATGTGACACTGCCACCCATTCTCTTAATCGCAACACTTGCAGCCTTGTGGTGTATACTTCCCTGGGCCATTTGTACACAAGGATTCTGAATTTCATTTTCCCAGAAGTGGCCAGTTGCTAAGCGTTGCCTTAGAAACTGGAATTCATTGTTTAGGATGTAAATTGTGTTTTGTATCAAGATGCCTTAGGTTTGAAAGCAGAATTGACCCTTCTGAAGCAATGGGTTCTTGTTAGCTCTGATTTCCTATTTACCAGATGCTCCTTTAGTTGTGAAAGTAAGCAAGGGGCAAGCTCGTTTGATTTTTAGATTGAGCTTTCTTGCACCTGGATTAGAAGCTCAGTAGCAGACGAAGCAAGTGAATAAGGGCTCCTATGTGCTTTGGGGGAGGGTCTGCTTTCTTGGTAACGCTGCATTGAATAAGAAAGGCATCCCTGCTCTGTAGGTGACACCACTTCAGTACATTTCCTTTTCCACTTATTAACCACACGAGAAGATGGATCAGCAGCCTGGAGACTGGGAAGCCCTCATAAGCCCGAGATGGTTTTTTGGGTTAGGGGATGGCTGCAATAATAAAGAAATCTCAGAAGTGTGAGTTTGCATAGACCGAATGCTATCTGTTCTCACTGGCCTCCAGCAGGGAGAATCACTGGTGACCGAAGATCGTCTTTTCCACTGCCCCTGTTCTTCCAGTAGATTAATCCAGTTGGAGAGCTGTGATTTTGGCTTCTAGAGTCGACATGCTATTTCCCATCTTACTGTTGAACAAGGAAGGAGATACAGGTTAAGAATTCAGATTTCTTAAAGATTGATGAGCTAGAAAGTTTAAGTGGCTTGAACAGTCATGGAACAAGTTGGTTATTGATTTTTCTGCTTCTCTCCCTTTTGCTTTTCATTCCATTTCCCATTCTGATCCCCTCCCCCAATCCCACCTATATTTCCAACCAGGTATATCTTTGCGAAGAATCTTTTTGAAAATGGTTCCCTCAGTGACATCGAATGGCATATCTATCAAGACTGGCATTCTTTTCTCCTGCAGGAGTTTGCCAGCCAGCTCAGATTACATGGCTTCATTTACCTCCAGGCTACTCCCCAGGTAATGCGGAACATCAAGCCTTAATCTTCAGGGCTGTCTGAAACCTAAGAGGTGACGTTCTCCAACACCCGATTTTCTGGTTGAAGAAAGGAGATTGCGGGTATTATGTGGAGCATGGAGAGCAGTGTGGGTCACACCCTCCCGTTCTGGCATTGAGCACCCCGTTTCCCACAGGCTTTCTGCGGCAGAGGGCTAAAGCGGATGACTGATAGAAAGGGTCCCTCTCGATGTAACAACAACAGAGAGAAAATCGGGCATTGTCTTTTTCAGCCAGGGTTTGCAGATTGGCTCCTCTGGCCAGGTCACCTGTAGCCAACTGCCTCGGCTTTCCCTTTCCTCCAGCTGGGTCCTCGGAGTCTGATGGTCTTGATGGTTTCCTGCATAGGATGCCGGGAGGAAGTGGAGAGTTTCCTTACCTCACCCTGATACTAGCATAATTTACAGCTAGCTGTCTTTTGAGCCTTAAGGGTGCCACTGGTAAGTCAAGATGGACTACAGAAGTTACATTCCTTGACTTTCTGACTTGGACCCTGGAGCCAGCCTCGTACACAATAGGGTGATGTTGCGGAAGAAGTCTCTGACTGGCAGTGACCGTGGACAGCCCCTAGCAGCCTTTCCCCTGGAAGGGTCCTTGCTATCAAATCCAGTGGCTCACACTAGTAGTCTCTAAGGGCTCCTCTGGAGTGGGATTCTGAGTCAAGGCTGGAGGTATATTTTGAGAGGTGTGTTGCTCTTGGCTTTTGAGACATGTAATGGGTGGTCACGTGTCAGGTATACTGCATACTCTTGGGAGGAAAGCTCCCTTCTGACGGGAGGCCACACTTTTTAGAGACAGGCCTGAGCCTTGTGGATGGAGAGGCCTGATGAGAGCAGCCCGAGCAGGGCTAAAAGATAGTGGGGAGCCCAGCTCGTGGGCTTATAGTAGCTGGAGAGGGGAAGGCCGGCAAGAAAGTCTTCCTCACTTTTTTGTGCACTTGAAATGACTGTGAGAAGGGGACAATGATGACAGCAGTGGTGGCGATTATGACGACGATGAGGATGTGACTGATGTGTCTTCACGGAGAGACTAGCCGCGGTCTTTCAGCTGGGGTAGAATGAGGGAGTTTGAAGGGTTCTTGCAACTTAATGTAGAAAAAGCAAAACTTTAAGACTGGATGGGGATTTTGATGCACTTTCGACGGTTTTAGAGCCAGAGACCCAGGAATGCTGATATCCTTCCCCAGAGTCACCCCGACCCCTTCTGTGAGATTCAGAGGTGATGATATCCAAGGGAAGAGCAGAACAGAAGTGAACCACATCTCTGAAAAGCCATGCAGTTGCCTGCATATTCTAATACAGAGCCTTGGGAAATACTGAGTTTAGAGCTTGTGAGATGGACCTAAGGAGGGCGTTTTGCTCCTTTCTACCTCCTCTTCCCTAAGTTCTAAAAAGCAAGCAAACCAACATAAAAAAAAATCAGTCAAAAGAGAGATGTCTGGGCCTCGGTGTCCCCACCCAGCCGCACGGAATCAGGAAGACTGCGCAGCCAGCCAGGCCTTGCTGGGGACTGTTGGCAGCATGGAGACGGCGTGCCGGGGATGCCTGGCCCAAATGGCACCTGGATTTGGGCTTGGGAAGCACAGTGGCCAGACCCACCAGCAGAGTTGCAGTCCAGTTGCCATCCCAGCAGCCACTCCTCCTGGGCTGGTTGGTGAAGGGGGCAGGTCAGCAGGACGGTCCCCCCTTACCGTTCATAGGCCCATTGTTTTTCTTGGTCACATTCAGGTGTGTCCTCCCCATGACGACTGATCGCAGCACACACAGGACTAGGGCACTGCTTGCACAGGACTTGTTAAAGAATTTGTTGTAACCCTACCAGTAAAACAAGAATTTTGCCAAGTGCTCAAAACAGGACCTTACCTATTAATCCTGCTTCTTGGAATTTACTCCATAAATATGCTCCCACATGGGCAAAGTGGCTCCTGTGCAAGCCAGCACTGTTTGTAATAGCAGCTCATTGGAACACCCCAGGCGGTCACCAGTAGGGCCGGTTGATTGTATTATGCTCTGTCCATACACTGGAAAACTCTGAAGCCGTAAAAATGGGAAAACACTATACTAACAGAACAGTCTCTGAGGCATTATTAAGTGAAGAAAAGCTGGCACAGTGTGTGTGGTGGGACACCTTTTACAAGTGTGGTGTTTTTTTAAAAGGTGGGGGGTAAGGTGTATACGCATGAAATATTTCTGAAGGCATGCAAGAAGTTCCCATCGGTGGCGGGTGACATGGAGGACTGCACCTCCAGAAGTTGGGGCTGGAGGGCCGCGTGGTGGGGGAGGGAGGCAAACAACGGGCAATGTTTTGAAGCCCTCAGCAGTGAAGGTGGGGTGTGGGGGCAGAAAGAGAGGGAAGAGAAAGCAGGTTCATGGTGAGGGAAAGTAGAAAAGGAAAAGATGAAAGCAGGAGGCAAAGGTGAATGGAGCTGGGGGACAAGGTCAGAACTGCAAGCCACAAATGAAGGCGGGCAACAGGTACTTACTGACCACGGGCTCTGCCAGCCTAGTGCTCAGCCCTGAACAAGACAGACTGTAGCCCCCAGCCGCTGTGCCCCCTGTGCACGCCTCCCTCTGTCTCCTGCTACAGTGGAAATGCCACCGGTGGCCTGTGTTTCCCCAGGGCCTACTGAGGTGCTGGGGAGCTGGTACCAGAGATAAAGGGGGAGCTCCTGCCTCCTCCGGGGAACGCCTCTCTGACTGCTGGGGCCCAGTGGCTCCCTCCCTTGTCTGGACTGCTGCCCTGAAGGTCTAGACCTCACAGTTTAGCGCTTGATGCACTGTTTTGCATACTGTTTTATTTATTATCTAACTAAATTGTAAAGTCCCAAGGATAAGGACTTGATCTAAGTTTGGGATGATAAATGATTAGGGGAAAAGATTGGTGAGGAGTTAAGTGCTAAAGTATTAACCTGTTAGATCTGTCTCAGTTAATCAATCTGAAAAGTTGGACATAAGCTCATAAATGAAATTTGTTTACATGATTTTGTCTTCTTAGAGGAAAGGTGGGATGCACAGCACAGACTGCATCTTCGGGAATATTGTGTGCTTCATTTGGGGCTAAAGTTTACATTGGGAATAAAGTTAAGTGTTTGCAAGAGGGTAGTCCTAGGTCAGTGGATTAATCCACCTGTTCTTCCCAGGACAGATGACACTGAATGATGAAATGTTTGCCAGTTAGAGAGAGGAAGGGAAAGCAGTCAGGCAAAACAAACATTGGGAGCAGAAGTCTCAAGGCGGGAAAGAGGTTGGCCTGTGCCACGGGTCCGATCTGGCTGCCGCCCTGAGTCCAGGCAGGTGCTAAGGAAGTTGAGGGTGGAGGGGTAGGAGAGGTGGCCAGAATCCTGGACAGCCTTGTGTGGCAGGTAAAGGAAAAGATGACATTCTCTGAGCCAGCGTGCTTCAGACTTTTCTACCAGGTGAAGGCAGAATGGAATGATGCCCTCTTTGGAAAGGGGGAGGGAAGGAGAGTTAGTCTTAAGCCTCACTTTTTTTACTTCTTGGTTTTATCTTTGACCTGTGCAGAGTTTGCCTTCTGCTCCAGAGTCAGTGAGTGACAGGCTATGAAAGACATGTTTCAGATTACTTACCATTTTGTAAACGTGATGCTCCTCATACTTCCTTAAACCTGGGGCTTTATGGCTACAGGCTAGGGAGCCTGGGAGGTGTTTGCAGCAAGGAGAGTGCTGCACTTCTCTTGCATCGCTGTGGAAGGGTGGGTGGAGGCGGCTCACTGGGAGGGGAGAGCTGCTGTGGCCAGGAACATGACACACCTGAACCTTGGTGAGTCCTCTCAGCTTCCCGCGGGGTGAGTGGAGGGGAAAAATGGGAAGCCCATAAAGATTGCATCACTAGTACATGGTGAAGACAGGAAGTGAATTGTGGATTTTTTTTTTTTAAGATTTTACTTATTTATTTGACAGAGACACAGCGAGAAAGGGAACACAAGCGGGGAGTGGGAGAGGGAGAAGCAGGCTTCCCGCGGAGCAGGGAGCCCGATGCGGGGCTCAATCCCAGGACCTTGGGATCATGACCTGAGCTGAAGGCAGACGCTTAACAACTGAGCCACCCAGACGCCCCGAATTGTGGATTTTTTTAAGGCCTGTGCTAACCCCAGACACTCACCGCTTCCAGAAAGAGAGCCAGAGGCTCTTGCTATGGTCTAGGTGAGAGGTGATGAGGACCCGAGGAAGGCAGAGGTGAGAGAGATTAAAAGCAGGGTAATTACAGCTTCCCAGGGTGGATGAAGTTTGCAGTTAACCTGTGATTGAATAAGGAAACAAGACCGGAGAAGCAAGGTCATGGCTTATCATTCCCAGACTCGATGTCACAAGTGGGTTCCCGAGTCCCCAAGGACCACATCGTCACAGCCAGGATAACACATGAGCTCAGTGTGGCCTGGGGATTGTCTTTTAGGTTTGTTTGAAGAGACTCCACCAGAGGGCCAGGGAAGAGGAGAAGGGAGTTGAGCTGGAATATCTCGAGCAGCTTCACAGTCAGCACGAATCCTGGCTTGTTCACAAGACAACCGAGTAAGTGGAGAAGACAGTACCACACAGACACCTGCCTCCCTACAGCCAGGTGCTCAGACACCAGCTCAACAGGCAGCCCCGTAAGAAGGTTCAGATGTACCAAGTGGTTAGAAATCCAACTGAGAAACTCAATGAGATACAATGTGTATATTCTAAGAGGCATTTTATTAGATTCTGTTTCTCCAGCTTTTTTGTTTTTTAATGTTTCCCTAGATTGAACATTGTGATTGATGATGGTGATAGAGTTGACCCAGGGTGAAGGGCTGAAAAATTTTAGAGAAATTGTCCATTTTACTAAGTTGACAGTCCTGGTTTTGGCCTTTCCTCCCTTTGGGCTTGGTATGTAGTCCACTTAAAATGTTTGGGGCTCTGACCTTCAGTGTCCATCTCAAGGCTAAAGAGAAATTTCAGCCTTCCTCTTTTATTAAGTTCTTTTTTTTTTAAACTAATTTATATGCAATTTCATTGAGAAGCCATGTGACTTTAGATCTGCTCTATGGATTATTAAGACGTGGTGAATATGTGAAGGTTGATTCAGCTTTCTTTTTTCTGTACCCTAAACTTTCATGCTTCTTACAGGCTCCACTTTGAGGCTCTGCTGAACATTCCAGTGCTGGTATTGGATGTCAATGAAGATTTTTCTGAAGAAGTAACCAAACAAGAAGAACTCATGAAAAAGGTGGAGGGGGAGGACTTTAACTCCTGCTTCTAGTGATTTTCCTTTATTGCACTTTTATTTTTGCTTCAGACTTCAATGTAATGGGTCTTGTGCTTTGTGCTTCAAATTGCATTTCACACTCTAAAGCCCGCGGGACCTTGTACAAGTTACAAATATCCCTATTCTCTAAAGCATTTTGGACTAATAATTGTTAAATAATTGACTTCCCAGCCAACTTCTCCTCAAAGGTATTTTTGAACTGGGAAAATGCAATTTCTGGATTCTCTTCCCAGCTCAGCCACTTCCACAATATGACCCTGCGCAGGCCCCATTTCCTCCCGATTTTTCCTAACTCATAACACCTGGGCATGGCTGCGTACCAGTGTGGGTGGACCATTACAGAGTCTGCTGAAAATGTGAAATTTAACTTTTGGTTTTTCTCTTTCCCACAGGTAAACACCTTTGTAAAGAATCTGTAGCCAGTACTGGGATGTTCTTGCCGTGATCTGGATTCTCTGACTTTCCAAAGCTGGAAAAATCCTGAGTCATGCACCTTGCCATCTTCTTTTACCCCTGGAGTCCTCTCTGACACTCAGGTCCATGGTTTGTGTTAGCCTTCGACTTCACAATTATTGTCTTTTATATCTCAAGGACTTCTAAAATAAAGTGGAAGTTTTGCTTCCTTTCCTAATCCATTTGTTGATCTCTTGGTCCCTGCTCTGAATTCCCCTCTAGACAAGCCATTTTCACCTGAGGACAGCCATAGCTTTTCTTCTTGACTCCTTCGCCACCCAGACTTCCTGTGTGCTCACTTGTTCCCTCTGACACGCCCGGGCAGGAATTGTCCCCAGGATTCCCAGCCAAGCCCTGCCCTGGGCATGAAAGGGAAGTACAGTGGCTCAGGAGAGGGTGGACACTCAGTGCGAGCCCCCAGAACTAGGGAATGGAACCTGAACTCTAGGATGTTCCTTTCTCTCTTCCAATCCAGCACTCTTGCCAGGGGGCATGGAGCACTCAGACCTTTGTGCTAGAGCTGAAGAATCTGGACCAAAGGGAGAAAACAAATCAGGATCCCCATAGTCCAGCATCTCGCGTTTAGGGTTCGGTCATCCTGGCACTCTGGCCTGCCCTAAGTACCGTATCCAGTGAGTGTCAGGTGATCTCAATGGAGTGACTGCTGGAAAGAGAATTTTTCGTGCTGCACTTCAGGCTCCAAGGACAATTCATTGTTATGAGAGAAAAATGCATGGCTCTGTAGAATTGAAGTGCTCCATTGCAAGAAGCCTGCAGGTCCATGATTCCCCAGGAGCGGGATTCCTGCACTGAGCCCTTGACAGTTGTGCAAGCACACAGGAAAATGAATCAGCTTGGGTGTCAGTGTCCCGGAAGACAGAAACCTGTGTCTTTCTTTATGTTTGGGAAAATGAGTGTGAGATTGGCTTCTGACAAATGCATGTCGTCGTGAAATAGAAGCACGGCATTTCTTTACTACTTAAATTTTTAACAGCTTTATTGAGATATAATTCACGTACCATACAGTTCACCTAATTAAAGTGTACAGTTCAGTGGTTTTTAGTATAGTCCATAGAGTTGTGCCACCATGACCACAATCAGTTCCAGAATGTCTTCAGCACCCCAAAAAAACTGCCACCCAACTAGCGGTCACTCCCCATCCCCTGTCACCCCCACTTCTCCCACCCCCAGTCCTGCTTGAGGCAGCCACCAATCTATTTTCTGTCTCTAGAATTGCTTCTTCTGGATATTTTATATAAATGGATCACGTAAGATGTGACCTCTTATGAATGATTTCTTTCACTTTCAAGGGTTTCAAGGTTCAGCCATGTTGTACCATGCATCAGTACATCATTCTTTTTTATGACTATTTCATTGTATGGATATACCACATTTTGTTCATCCATTCACCTACTGATAGACATGTGGATTCTACTTTTTGGCTATTATGAATAATGCTATGAAAATTCATATATAAGTTTTTAGATTTTAATTTTTCTTGGGTATATACCAACGGATGGAATTACTGGGTCAAATGGTAACTCCATGTTTAACTTTTGGAGGAACTGCTAAACTTTTCCAAAGTCACTGCACCATTTTACATTCTCTGGAGCAATATATGAGGGCTTCAGTTTCCCCAGGTCCTTGCCAACACTTGCTCTCATTTTGATTATAGCCATCCTAGTATCCTGTCATGTTTTGATTTACATTCCCTGATGGCTAATGATGAGCATCTTTTCATGTTCTTACTGGTCATTTGTATTCCTTCTTTGGAAAAATACCTCTTCAAATCCTTTGTCCTTTTTTCACTTAGGTTCTTTGGCTTTTTACTGTTGAGTTGTAAGAGACTTTAGATATTCTGGATACAAGTTTTTAGCAGAGACATGATTTAGAAATATTTTCTCCCATTCTGTGGGGTGTAGTTTGATAATGTGCTTTGAAGCACAAAAGTTTGTAATTTTGACGAGGTCTAGTTTACTCACTTGTGCTTTTGGTGTCATGTCTAAGAAAGTTTTGAACAACCCAAGGTGACAAACATTTGTTCCTGTGTTTTCTTCTGAGAGTTGTATGGTTTTGGCTCTTAACATTAGGTCTGTGATTGATTTTGAGTTAATTTTGGTGTGTGGTGTAAGGAAGGGTTCAGTTTCATTCTTTTGCATGTGCGTATCCAGTTGGGACCATTAGTTGGAAAGAATATTCTCTTTTCCCACTGAATTATCTTGTTACTCTTGTCAAAAATCTGACCCACTTGTTCTTGTGTCTGTTGGCTGCTTCAGGCTTCAGATAAGACCACGGACGAACATAGGATGTTAGGTATGTTTTAGAAACTCAGTGGTTTTGGTTCTTTAGCTTTGAGGGGCCCAAATGTTTAATTCCCATTTACATTTCCAGGAACCACTAATGTAGAAATCACCTGTAGACCCAGGATAAGAGCACGAGGCCCCCACGCTTCACTCAGTTAATCGGTCATCAAACACTTGTATCTGCTGTCTGATGGAGACTGAGGAGGTAACAGTGAGCACCACAGAAGGCAGACCTTGTCCTTACCCTACAGAATTCATCATCTAATGGTGAAGGTGAAAGACACTGAACAAATAATTGCAGGTGTGGTGGGTGGTCCAAAAGGAGAAGTACAGGTGTTGGCGGGGTGTGGCCTAGGACAGAAGGAACCAACATAACCTGGGACAGCCCCCCTAAGCAAGTGACAGTTCTGAATTCTGAGGAATGAATGGGGCAGGGCATTCAGGCGGAGGGAAAAAGTCACGTGCCAAGGTCTTCGTGTGAGAATGAGGCATTAGGCCCAGGTTGTCAAAACCATATGAGTCTGGCGGTTTATAATTTAGGAATATACTGCTATCCTTCACACTCTCCACTTGGCCTGAAAACCCGGAAATCCAGTGTTTCTTTCCCTGTGTACACTTAGCCCTTTAGAATGTTCTGTAAGATAGTGCCATCAACAGTCCCACCTGGGTGAAATAATTTGCCATTTTCCAGATTGGTAGCTGAGAAAGTGGTTTAGCAATGAGCTGTAGTTCTGGACCTTAAGCATCCGAGGAAGGGGTGGGTCTGGGAGGGGTGTTTAAACACAGAGACCAGGGCGCCTGGGTGGCTCAGTCGTTAAGCGTCTGCCTTCAGCTCAGGTCATGACCCCAGGGTCCTGGGATCGAGCCCTACATCGGGCTCTCTGCTCTGCGGGAAGCCTGCCTCTCCCACTGCCCCTGCTTGTGTTCCCTCTCTCACTGTGTCTCTCTCTGTCAAATAAATAAACAAAAAATAAACACGGAGACCAGCTCTGCACGGTCAGGCTGGTCTGGTGGCTGTCCCCCTCCTCTTTTAGGGTGTTCTCCAATGTTACAGAACTTGGATTAACACATAAAAATAGCTAGATTTCATTCTCGTTTATGATGTGGTAAAACCAGCTCTTCTGGAACCAGAATATTACCTTGATGGGTTTATAATGTGAATCGAGATTGTGAAAGTTCTCAAACTCTCAGGCTTTCAACACGAAGGGAGAAGGTGATAGTTCAGGTGGAAAAGGCTCTTTGTTGAATGCAAACACTAGAATCACAGGGACACTGAAGCAAGGGAAGAACAGGCACTTCAAACTGCAAGACTACTCAACCTTCAGCCGTCACTTTAAGGAGTGGGCAGCTTACATCTGGACCACTTTCTCCCTTGTTGGTCTCTTCTGGCTGTTCCATTATGTGGTGTCTCCCTTGGTTCGTTTCTGTCTTTACCCACTGTTCTGAGTGATCTCTTACTCATTTATTTTTGCTGCCATATCAAGTTGCCACAATGTGGCTTAAAGTAGCACAAATTTAACTTCTAGTTCCATAAGTCAGAACTCTGCATGAGTCTCATGAGCTAGAATCAGATTATCAGCAGGGCTGCATCCCTTTCTGGAGGTTCTGGAGGAGAACCTGTTTCTTTGCCTTTTCTGTCTTCTCGAGACTGCCCACGTTCCTTGGCTTATGGCCCCTTTCTTCCGTCTTCAAGACCAGCAAAGTCTCTGACCCTTCTTCCATGGTCACAGTTTTCTCTGACCACAGCCAGGAAAGGTTCTCTGCTTTTAAGGACCCACGTGATTATACTGGGGCAGAATACTCTCCCCATCTCAAGATCTTTAGCCTTAGTACCTCTGCGAAGATAACATATTTACAAGTGTTGGGGATCAGGACTTGGATGTCTTTGGAAGGCTGTTATTCACACTTGCAGAGATCTCAATGTCATGGCTCCTACTATTATCATGGGGTGAAGACTTCTGAAGCACTTGCAAACATTGAAAATGTGACTCATTTGTGATAGTGGAGGGAATAGTACAAGGAACCCCTGTATCCCTATTACCCATACCCTGGCCCAATCAGCCTAAGATCACCAGGAACAAACGTGTAGTTTGACAAAATCTGATTGACTGATTCATTACGATGAAGGAGACCACACCAGAGGAACTAGGGGTGTCTGACCAAACAGGAAAAGAGAATTACAGGATTTGGGGGAAGGATAGAGTTTAGGTCAAAATGTAAATGAAGCAGTGCTTTGATAGGCTCAAAGCAAAGCAGGTCTGTGTGTACAGGAGTCAACACCTGGTCTGAACTACACATAGACCCAGGTTCATTTCCAGCAAAAATACAAAGTTAAGGTAAATGTGGACTGTTGTGTTGAGAAGCCCCTTATCTGAAGCTCTGAACCAGAATTGCAAATCAAGACCGCTTCTCTCTGTCAAAGTGACTTAGATCCTCCTGGCAGCAGAAGGGGGTTGGTTTCATTTTTACTGATAAAACTTCAAACAGCGAAGTTTCTGATGGTCCATCATTTTAGGGAACAAGGTTTCTCAGTGAGTCAGAAAGCAGTAGTTACGCAAAGAAGGGGGTGGTTCTGACACCAGCCCTTGGGAGGAGTATTGTTCCACGGTAACTTTGTAGCTGGCCTTACCTAGGGTCTGCCCTCCCAGCTTTGGTTTTCCTAGTCTGAGCTAATTTTTACTTTCTCACCCACTTCAGTTATCTATTCAGAGCCAATTTTGTGTCACCTAGGGCCACCTCTCACCCCTCTCAGATTGTTTTGAAGCAAATCCCAGACAGGAGGATGACTTTGAAAGCCAGCTGCGTCTGGACCTCGGCATCATTACCTGGCTATCCCTTCTGCTCAGCATGTGCAAAACAGTCCCCACCTCCAACCCCCT